TCACAGTCAGCCAGTGAGAGTCCTTCGAGAGCCAAATGTGTTCTAATTAGTTTGCAGCGGCAGTCTTCTGATAGCTAATGATGCTGTTTCGAGAACACCTGTATGTAGCCTGCTCACCGAATAGGATAAAAACATAAACTCTTTTTCTTTTTTATGTCATAAGCTATTTTTCATTCCACTAGGAAAGACTTTATCCCCGTACCTCGCCTCCCATCTCAACTGCAGATTCGCTTTGTTTTCAGTTAAATTATGCCCGAAGCGCCCTTCCATTAGTGTTAATTTGGTAGCTTTCACAATGTTCTTTCATTCCTCAGCTAGCAAGTAGCTCCTTCCCTGCTCAGCCCTGTTGGAGGCATTTTGTTTTGCTCAGGAATGTCTCGATTATTGGCCTGAGCGACAGAGGAATGTTTCGCGCCTGGCGCTTGGATTTTCACTTGAAATGTGTCCGGACAGGACATCTTTTTCAGATATCCCTCCAGCACTGATTGAAAGATAATTAGGCTTCTATCTGTGTAACCTGAGAGGGTTTGATTCTTGATCCTCAAAGAAAGGATATCTTAACCTTATTTACTGGGGAGATGTGGGAAAGCTATGTGAAGGCGAAGGATTTGGGAGCCTGGAAATTTGATTGCTCGATATTAAAGTTTACAGAAAGTGTCGGGGAGCTTTATGTGTGACCAGGCCTGATATTCAGGCATTTTGACAAATATAATATCACTTTTTAAAAATATGGCAACCCTTCATACTGGCTGGTTCAGTGACCCCTGCAGTGAGCCCCTCCCCCATCACTCCGGCTGCACCTGCCATCCCCCCAGGACCACCCTGTGCTTTCACATCACCCTTAACCAGGACTCAGCAGGAAAAGAATTAACCCCTGGCCTCCCAGGTGTCCTAGTGCCTTGTCGCTGGCTCAAATTCCCATAGGGTGGTTGGTGGGTGCCCTCCTGTATAGGTTGCTAAATATTTTTTAAAATATTTAATTTATTTATTTTCAGAGAAAGGGAGGGAGAAAGAGAGGGAGAGAAATATCAGTGTGTGGTTGCCTCTCACGCCCCCCAACTGGGGACCTGGCCCACGACCCAGGCATGTGCCCCAATTGGGAATCGAACTGGCGACCCTTTGGTTCACAGGCCAGTACTCAATCCACTGAGCCACATCGGGCAGGGCTAAATATATTTCATATCATCATGCTACCTAGCATTTGAAGAATGTTCAAAACATTCAGGAAAAAAGCCCTAAAATCTTAGCGAGGCTGTATCTGTGATGGTAAAAATGATTGGGTTGACTTAATAGGGTAAAAAGATCAGGCTGCCTTCATCTCAGGGAGTGCAGTATTCCTTGTTGTATTTTCTTGGAGGGGAGAGAGAACTGGGAAATCACATTCTTGATTCATGAGTCAAAACGGGACTCTGGTCTTTTTTAAAACATAAAGCCCTACTTACCTCCAGACTTTGCACCATGCTCTTCGCTTGTCTTGAGATTCCAGTTCCATTAGGTACACAGAAAATGAGACAGGAAACGCGAGGTGAGAGCCTGTTTTCCAGCTCCCTGTTTGAGATGCCTTTAGGGCCCCCTAGTGGCTGTTTTAAGACAGGTTTTAAAAAAAAATTTTTTTTTTTTTAGGATTAGGTCTCCTTGACCCTGATTAAAAGAGACCTTTCTGAATCTGACCTGTGACAGGTACAAAGACTGTGTGGAGATAAACAGATAACAGTGCGTTTAGAGGGCTCGATGGTTTTTCACTCATCAGTTCTTAGCAGAAGCAATTCAGGCTCTTTGGAAATAACATATATCCCCTCACATATTTTATTCTGCATTCCTTATACTATATTATGTCACAGCTAAATACCTTTTGAGACATTTATATCCTGGTTTGTGTCAAAAGGCTCTCATTCATGGGCAAAAACATCCTACATTAGGTTTCCCATATGTGTGTCTCCCATTGGTGGGACAAAGGAATTATTTAAATGTGCGCTGAGGTGCGGCTTGACAGATTAACAGAAGAGTGCAGTTTGTGTAGTATTTCAGTTGGACAACATTCCTCATTTAGAACATTAGATACGCCACTGAGTATAACACTGCAACATTGAATTAACAGAACAAAGCTCTGACACATTTAAGGTCCTTTTTAACTGATGCAAGTAATTTTTGTGAAATCCCCAAATAATGAAATAAATGTTTTAATGTACCTTACTGACCAGAATGAATATTGCTCCCTCCTCTCCTATGGCTCTATTTTTCTTTCTAAAATTCAGTCTAGGATGCACTACACTTAATTAAAACGGAGATATTTCTTTTCCACATACTTATCTTTTAGTTTCTGATGTTATTTCACTATTTTTCTTTGCTCCTAAATTTCAGGTCTCCCTTCCTGTCCTCAATCACGTTACCCTGATTAATATGCTAATGTATTGTAATAATGCATTTTGCACCCTTAATGAAGCGAAGCAAAGCACCAAATAAAAAGAAAGCCCAAATTCCTGCTTTAACTCTACCCGTTTCGGGGCGGCGGTGGAGGGGTGGGGGGTGGTGAGGGGTTAGGGAGAGTAGGAAGGAAGGGCAGTCCGCCCGCAAAAAAATAAAAATGATCTCCTTGTTTTAAGCGCGTTCTGGGGCCGGGCTGCACGTCAGAGGAAGAACGGAGCAGCATTCCAGCTAAAAGGCTTGGCATTAAACTTTGACACTCTAATGGTCTCTAGGATATTAGATAATATTTTATCGTATAATGTTCTTCTCCGACACGGTAATGGCATCAAAACCAGATACGATCTCCCATCCCTGCAGACGTGCAGGGTGAGACTTTTTCACGCAGAGATAAGACAGCAGGACCCCAGCTTCGCAGTTAACTTATCCCAAAGCTTCAAGGCAAACGTTTTTCACTTCTTCGCCGAGGACGCTACTGTGCAACCGCTACCTTGTTTTCGCATGCTCCTCGGCTCCGTCTGCCACTGATATTAGGTAAACAGAGCTCCAGAGCTGGGGAACAGCCGGTGGCGGCGGCGGCGGTGGCGGTGGTGGGGGAAGGGGGTGGGGGTCGTTGCTTAAAGAGCTGGAAGGAAGGAGGGGATTGGGGAAGGGTTCCGGCTGGGTCCAGCTAAGGGCCGAGAGTCAAGTTACCTAGGCAGGAGCAAGGTCCAGAGCGTACTGAGCTGCCGAACCTCCGAAGCCCTTGGTCTCCTAACCTGACATCTGGGGAGTGGGATCGGCGAGGTAGCCCGAGCGCAGCATCCCTTTCTTACGTACCCCTGCCTCTTCCCACCCGAGCACTTTCTCTCTGTTTTCGCTTCTTTCCTCGGCTCCTTCCTAGAACTAGGGTGGGCTCCGTTGAGTCCCAGCGCTAAGAGAGAGGTGCTCAGAGGCCAGGCAGAGACCAGTCGGCCTGCCCGGCTGGGGAGAGGTGGGGACCCGGGGGAAAGGGGACCCCAGAAGCCCTGGGACTGAGCGGAGGAAAAACCCGGGAGGTGGATTACACGCCGGAGCCCCTGTCTCCTAGTCAGAGTTGCTCATCCTTCAGCGTCCTCTCTCTCTCTCTCCCTGCCTTTTTTGCTTCCTCCTCTTCTGGGTTTTCTCTCCTTCCATGCCTCCTCCACTCTCATACACCCGCCCCTGTTGCCTAGCCAATTGCACCCAATCCTTCGGTAGCCTAAGAGGACTCTTGGCGCCCTACTCTTGTCTTTAGGACTGGGAGACTGGAAGTCTATTCAACGGGATGCATAACATGCGTGGGGTTCTCGTGCTGAGAGGGAAAGAGCAGGAATGAAATCTAAATGGGGAGGGGTCGTGCTGTGCGTGCACGGGTGGGTGGGTGGGGAGGACAAAGATGAGCAGTTCCCCGGAAATAATAGGGAGGCTTGGACAGGATGATTGGATACAGAGCTCAAAATGACGCTGTCAAAGCCCTTCAACGTGGCTCCTCGAAGTCTCAGGCTGCCCCATACCAGGGAAGCGGTGACCCGAGTAGAAGGTGGAGGCGGGGAAACTTCCTACTTCCCAAGACGGCTGTTTTGTACAAGGGAGAGTGGACGGGCAGCACGGCCCTACAGCCTGCAAGTGTCTTTACGACGGCAGCTGCGGACCTGCCCCGCTTCCCTTCCCCCTCTTTCCACGAGGCTCGCCAAGCCCGGAGCGGCGGGGCAGGGGGAAGAAGGGCGGGGAGCTCCGGGCTAGCACCCTTTCATCCAGACCCGAGCCGGGATCCCGGATCCGGGTGTTGCTTCCGCCTATGTGCAAGCAAGCTGAGGCAGTAGGAGGGCGGAGCCTCATTGTAGGGCGGAGCCTAGGCAGGAGAGGCACCTGCCATTGGCCAGCCGCGCCATCACGGGGTGGGGGCGGGCACCAAGGAGCGCGCAGGCCCCGCCCCCGCTCCGAGCCCGGCCTGTTTCGCGGTCCCCCCCAGCTGCACAGACATGACACAGACACACAGTCACTGCAGCTGCTGAGCGAGCCCGGCGCTCTGGGCACGCGGCGGCCGAGCCAGCCCGTAGCTCGGACCCCAGCGCCCGCCACCCCCCCGCCAGCACCCGCACGGCGGCCCCAGCTAAGCCTAGGAGCTGGAGGCGGGGATCGCGCTCCGGCTCCCGCTAGTGGCGCCCGGCTGCCAGCGGCTGTTGCAGCGGCCGCCCAGCTCCGAGCGCCGGGCGCTCGGAGAAGCAGGCGCGTCTCGGAGGCGGCGGCGGCCGAGGCCAGCGAGCGCTCCTGGCGGCTGCGGGGACGCCCTTTTCGACTCCCCGCACCCACCGCGCTGCGCCCCGCCTCCGCTCCGGTGACCTTCTCGGGGCGCCTCCCCCGGCCCCGCGCCCCCGGCCCCGCGCCCCAGGCCAGGGCGAGGCCCTCTCCAGCGCCTCCTTCCCGCGGAGCCGCGGGCGGGCGGCGCAGGCCCGGGGGGCGGGGGCGCCGCTACCGGCTGCAGCACCCCCGCCGCCGCGCTAGGCGCCCGGCCCGGCCGGACTGTCGCTGCCCCGCTGCCGCGCGGGAGCCTGGGCGCCCGAAGCTGGGGGCGCGGCTGCGCTCACCTCGCCGGGCCGGGAGCGGACAGGCCCTGCCCTGAAGGGGTGAAGCTGCTGGGAACGTGGGAGGTGGAGCCGGCCCCAGCGGCCGCCCAGCGTTTCAGCCCAGCGCCCCCTCCCAGGACCCAGCCCAAGGCGGACCCAGGCCTCTGTCCATGCCGGGCGCCCCTGGCTTGGAAGAGTCTCGGAGGCAAGGAACAGCTCCAAGAAGCGGCATCAGCAGCAGAGAAAGAAGGGAGAGTGCTCAGCTTGGGCGGCCCGGACCCTCGCCGCAGCGTTTGGAGCCCTGCGCTGCCCCGAAGTGTGCGCTCGGCACCGCCGTTCGGGAAAGGGCAGCTCCGGTTGGGACCCCGACCCGGACCCCCTGCGCCTCCTAGGCGGCGCCGTCGCGTCACCCAGTTCTTCCAAGATCTCTCTCTGCCTGGCGGCAGTCACGGCCAAGGTAAGAGTCCGGGGGTGCCAGAGAGCAACCGCGGGGGCGACCTGGAGAGCGGCGCTGGACAAGTTCTCCGAACCTGTAGCTGGTACCACCTATGCTCGGGATTCTGGTGGAGAGGAAGGGAGTGTGGACACACCCTCTGCTGCCTGGGCCGGGAGCCCTGGAGAGGCTGGTGGTGGAAGTCCCGAGACTCTGAGATTCTTGTCCCCAGGACCCGTCCCAGGGCCTACCGGGCTCCTATGCACACAGGCTGCTGATTGGGAGCAAGCAAGGAAATTACCATTAGCAACGGGAGGTGAGGTGTCCGCACCCTGCCCCCTCCTCGCCAGCACCTGGGTTTTGGGGGGACCTGCTGTGTTTGGAGAGGCCCCTCTTGGGCGATCCCCACCTGCCTTGTCCTGACGTGATGCTGTGAAGAACTTTTCTTTGCTCCTTGTTGCAGAGAGCGGAGGCGGATTTGGGGTGAGCAGCCACAGCTTGCGAGTCCCTCTATAGGAGAGAGTGGTTGGGTGGCAGCGATTTCTGTGGAGTGGAAACCCAACCAGAGAGAGTGTCACTCCTATGAGGCAAAGCTGCTTGTGATGAGTGATCAATACAGAGTGATCCAGGCATTTCTGTGAATGTCACTGTTTCTGAAGGGTGGAGTGACGGACTCCAAAGTTTGTGCCTCCTGAAGTTATTTTGTTCATTGCCTCATTGCTTTCTTTTTAGTTTTTTTTTCTTGAAGGAACCCTAGTTCTGCAAAGCCTGTCTTGGCCGTTTAAAATTTTTTTAACCTGTGAGCTTCTCCTGGAACCATCTGATTTTAAATGGGTCACTTCGGAAGGAACAGATTGTCTCTCTTACATTGAATCCTTCCCCACCCCCCGTGACCCTGTTTAATGGGGATGGATTTTTTTTTTCGTTCCTGAGCCGATATACCTCCGTCCAGCAGATTTCTGCTGCATTCCGAGAATCCTTGCATTTTGCCACTCAGTCCATTAAAATGATCTCCTGAGGGAGCAAAACAGCAGCTTACATTTTCTGTGAATGTCACAGGAAGTTTTACAGGGTCTTATGTAAGTGCCCCAAGAGAGAACTCAGGCTCTGGCTTCCTTCCTGGGGGGCTGGGGGAGGGGCGGCGGGGGTGGGCAGCGGGGGTCATTTCACCTAAATGCAGCTGCCATCCCTCTGACACCATGGAAACTCCGAGTGCTCATTCACTCGTGGAGGGAGGCAGTCCCCTCCGGTTAATCTTTCTCCTCCGCCCTCCTGTCTTCCCACCTCAGGAGTCAGCTTGGATAGACCTCAGACAAGGGAAGGTTCTGAATTAGGAAAGGGGCAGGGATGCTCCGTGTTCTCCTCTCCCAAATGGGTGACACGCATGAGTTACTCCTCGGCAGGCCGAGTCCTCCCTGGGGAGGAGAAGCAAGGAGGACCTGGCTTTAAGGTTTCACACGTCTCTTAGTGTACCTTTATTTTTCAAGAGCACTTTGTTTTAGTGAAAATTGCTTTGCGGAGAACACACATTTATCGGGCCTGGTCTGGTTTGTTCCATATGGGGAAGAAAGCTAACTGGGATGGAGAGGCGAAAGTTATCGAGATTGAGATCTTAGTGGGTTTTCCAGGGTGGCGGGGAAAGCGGGAGGGAGAGGCTTTTGGAGACCTGCTGCCCTGCAGCGGGCACAAGCAGCCGACAAGTGTGGGCCCGCTCCACTTCATGAAGTGGGCTGGGTCGTGGGCCAACTTTCTGGCGTGAGAGGATGCAGGTTCCTTTGCCGTGTAAACCGCAACTCGGAGGGCCTTAGAATCCAAGTGAAAAGTTTGTCAATCTCATCGCAGGTCCTGGGAGTGCTTCCGCCTCCTGGGATGGAGGCAAAGGTTGGGTTCGGGGTTCCTGAGCTTGTGCTTTCACGCAGATGCAGGAGGCAGGAGTGTCTCCATCTGAAGCCGCCTACAGTGGCAGGACACTAGGGGGACCAGTTTTCTTTTCCACTGCAGAGGAAGCAAACACAAGGACCCGCACCAGATGATCTCACTTCTGTGTGGCATCTAATGAACAAAATCTACGGACAAACAAAATAGAAACAGAGGCAGGGACCCATGGGACAGATGGACAGGCAATGGGGGTGGGGCCTGGAGGAAAGAAAGTTGAAAGGATTAACCCAAACTACACACACACACAGACACAGACACACAGACACGGACAACAGTGTGGTGATGGTGGAGCGAAGGTTCAGGTGGGCAAATGGGGAGGGAACGGGGGCTTTGCTGGGACGAGGGGCGCACGAGGCAGTGGGCAGATGATGTTTTATGGGGTTCTACGCTTGAAACCTGTATGGCTTTGCAAGCCAGTGTCGCCACAATAAATTCAATGAAAACAAACACACACAAAAACCAAAAGCTAGGATCCATGTTGCAAAAAGCCATGCTTTATCCATCTGTAGGGCCGTGACCCCAACTTTTTGGTGTCGGTGCGTGCTTGCACTAACGCTTAGGTGGGGGGCCCGCTCACATCTTAAGCATCTTTTGGGCAACTCAGAACGAGTCAACTGCAAAGCGTTATGTGTTATGTGAGACGCTGAGCAACTCAGTTTTCTCTAAATATGTGAGGTTTATACGTTTTTGGGAGACAGGCCTTCTTGCGAACTCCATCCTTGGGGCATTAGACCATGCTAATTTAGAGTTCCTTAAGGGTTTGTGATCAAAACTCCCCCTTTTGGTTTCTGGACTGCACACCCCCAGCAGTCTCCATAGAATCAGCTTCCTCTGTGCTGGATGGAGTCTAGGTTCGACTCCATTAAACATGAAACTTCTCACTATCATCCTCTTAAAAAGTACATAGCTTATATTTACAGGTGACCCTTGAACAACAGGGTTTGAATGTGCGTGGGTTCCCTTATGAGCACATTTTTTTTTCCCCCAGGAACTACAGACAGAGCTTCCTATCCTCAGGTTTCACATCTGGGGACTCAGCAAATCCTGATGGAAACCAATAATTTTGCATGCCCAAGCACAGATGGAAAATACTGTATTTTGCCATGTATAATGCGCACCCACAATTTTTATGTGCATTGTACACAGGATTGTTATACCCGTTATACCCATGGTGTATAATCATTAGACCCTTGTATAACGCACATCCTTATTTTTCTCTCAAATATTTGGGCAAAAAGTGCACATTATACACGGCCCCATGTGGGGTGACTGTTTTCGATCCGCCATTGGTTGAACAGGCAGGTGTGGAACACCCGCTGCAGAATCAAAAGTTCTGTGTGATGATGCACTGGGTAGGGGTGGATTCCCCTACACCCCCCAGGGTTGCTTTCGAGGGTCCCCTGTCTGCGGATGTAGCATGGCATTTGATAGTGTAGTTATAGTTTCATCTCAGACGCTCCCTGCATTTTTAACAGTATGAAATCATTAATGTCCAGGTTTCTTCCAGCAGCCCTGGAGGATAATTCTATTTAGCTGAGGAACAAAGCCCCATTGCCCAGGCTCACCTTGGCCACAGTGGCCAAGTCTCATCAAAGCCGGCGGCAGAGGTGGGCAGGCAGGACAGGTGAGAGACAGAGTCCAAGAAGAGACGACCCAGTTTAGCATACTGGCCCGGAAAAAGGCAAGTGTTGCCAAGGTTTAGGTCTTAGTGGAGTCGGAAAGACCCGACCCAGCGGGTAGAATTAGCTCAGTGTGTGGACCTACGTGAGTTACTGTATTTCCCTGAACTCTGGGGTCTGGTAGATCTTGGTTTTGATCATTTCCCTGTGTGTACTGTGCATATTTAGGTAGTTTGAGGGGAGCTATTGTTGTGGTCTGGGGAAAATGGTCAGCATAAAGCTTTATTTCTGCTATTAAGGCTTTATAGATTGATTCTCATAGGCGCAGTATAGCCAAGGGGTAAGAGATTGGAACAGGCAAACACTATTAAATTTGCCATTGAACATCGACTAGTGAAAACTGTCCTGGAGAGGAAATATACTGAGGTCCTAAGGCTCGGATGAAGTCTTGTGGATTTCAGGGAAGCCAGATGGCAGAGGTGGAGTACGAAGCTGAGACAGGATACCAGCCTTTCTTAGGCTCCCCTTCGAGTAACAGCCACCGCCTGGAATCCACCCGTGTGGGTGAGGCTTTGCTGCCCCATGCTGGAGTGTTTGACACGGAGAGGCCCTCGGCTCCTCTCTGACCGGACCGACCTGTGCAGAGCACTAGGCAGCAGCCTGTAAAGTTTTAAAGCTTGAGTAAATGTATTTTAGAAGACTTTTTTTTTTCCCTTATACCTCAACAAATAATAATTGAACATCTGTTATGTGGCGGATCCCATGCTCTGGTGCATGGAGGTTCCACGTTTAGTTTGTAGCCTTTTAGGGGAGTCAGACATGGAACCATGACTGTGGACCAAGTACCGTTGTACAGGTTTGTTCGAAGGATGGGTTTGATATTGGCAGGATAGTAGAAAGGAAAAAGCATCCCAGGCTGGAAGAACCGCATGGAAACCTTAACGTATGTAGCGGGTGAAGGGGGAATAGTAGGAGTTAGCGTGGCTGGAAGGGGGGATGTGTTGGAAGAGGGGAGCGAGCTTGGTGTTAGAAGGGACATAATCACGTAGCATTCCACGCTGAGTACTGCACCTTTGCCTCCTGCTGTGTGTACTCATTCAGACGGCGGCAAGACCGGTTGCTGGGTAAGATCCAGGAGCTCTAGTTGATCATCCCCCATTTTTATTAAAACCCCAGACAATTTCTTTTCTGTCTTTCATCCTTCTACGTATAGCATTCTGCCTCTTCTTGAACACACTATTCGCAGTGGGAACAGAGAAAGGGTCCCTCATGAACCGTACGTCTGTCTTCTCGTGCACGTGAATGACATCTGGGGCTCTCGTTACGCGATTATGCAGCAGTGGGGGAAATCACAGTGTCCCTGACAAATGATCTGTACTGTGGAGGGAGAAGTTCCTCTGTGAGAACAAATTCTGTCTTGTCAGATGTGCTTCTGGGGAGACTTATGGTCGTTTTTAACGACTGAAC